TAAAAAAGAATCCAAACATCGAATCCAAATGGACAAATTCCAGTCTCAAAATTAAATCCCTAGATTCTTCACCTGAGTGTCACTCAAGTTCTAAAAACACACAACCTGAAACACCATCTACCTCTTTATCCAGAGTACGTTCTTTTACCAAAAGATTTTGGAAAAGCGGCTCTCTGTCCTCAAAATCTGTAGACATTCCAATCGAGAAAGAAAACCTAAAAATGGTTAAAAACGCTAAAGAAAACCTAACTCTGGATGGTGATATAAAATTGGGATCCAGGGACTGCAAACCTTTACGAAAATTTTCGAGGCAACAGTCAGTCGGATCTAAGGCTCAAGGTGAAGGATTTCATGGCGATTATATCAGAGGGGATAAGAAATCGGCTTTAGAAAATAAGCTGAGCTTAAAAAACGATGATGGAACAGGATCAAAACAAAGTTGCTCAAAAATAAGTGAACCGATATCATCTAGTGTCATAGATAATAGAAAAAGTGATAATGGTAAAAAGAATGTGCAAACATCTGGGAGGGGTAGAAATGCTAAGCCTCCGAAGAAGTGTATTTTGACGATAGATGGATTTTCGTATGTTATTGGTAAGGAAATATATTTTCTTAGTAATAATGATAAATGGTAGTCTGCCCGAAGGCAGGTCCATGGTGTGAGAGCTACCATAAATAAATGATTTCCTTCATCCTATGTACTATTCCCCTTTCCCATTTTTTTATTTCATGTATATTTCTGAAATAAAAAAAATAAATAAAATAAAAAGTATCACTTGTAAAATATAGTCAATACTGACCAACTTTTATTACCATGAAAAATAATTTCCAATATCATTTGGAAGTTTATGACAACCACAAACTATCAAATTTTAGACTACGTTAAAACCAGTTTTACGACAAGAGTAGTTAATTTTATGACTATTTTGGTGAATAGAATTGTGATGAATTTGAAATAGGTTTATTGAGTATGTATTCTATAAATGTGCTATGTTTGGTGCATTTCAGTTGAGTGAGCTCGTACGACTTCAGATTAAGTTTTTTTTTGTTACAATGAGAAGATTTACTACTTTAAAGAACGTTAAGGTATTATACACACATAGAAGATCTATTTATTTTCTGTTACATATATACTAGGGTTTGAGGGTTTTCAAAAATCGGTTTTTGGCGCAAATTATGGAATTCGAAAACCGTTTTTTTAGTAAAAAAAAGTCGGTTTTTACTGTATAAATGGAAAATGACAAATATAGCCAAATATAAAAGATAGATGAAAGCGTTTTGATTCTTGAAATCATATCGTTTCAATAGCATTTGATATTTTATCAGTCTGCAATGGTTGCCAGAAAGGTTTTGTAAATAATAATTTAGATTTTTATACCAGTGTTAATATTAATTTGAATCAGTGTGACTTCTTCTTAAAGAAGTAACTACCTCTACTCAAACTTAAAAAAAAGAGTTTTAAACCCTAGAAGCCACAAATTAAAGAACAAAAAACTTAGAATTATTATATCAGACTTAATACGTTAATCAGACGTATTAACAATTAAGCATAAGTTGCAAGTATAAGAGTATTTTCTATTTCAAGAAATTTTGTGAGTAAACAAAGGACACGTTCAAGTAGCAATTCAATAGACGTTCTCAATTTTCTTAAATTATATTTTATTAAACAAAAAACAATTAGAATGTTTAAAATTAATTAATTAAAATTTGCTCGGAACAAAAATAAAAGTTTAGCTTAATTGTTTTTAAAACTAAAATTGATATTAGCAAGTATGTATCAACATGAATCTAATATTTTTTAATATTTTATATTTAATGAATTTTTTTATTTAAAAATGTATTTATTCGAAAACTTTCCTTTCACTATCATAAAAATATTTTCTTATATTTGAAAATGATGCATGCATAAAGAATAATTATTTTCAAAGTTCTTTAATCAAAATAAACTATTATTTTTTAGTTCTTCTAATTAAAATTAAAATAATTTTGTTTACTATTTATGAAATTGAACAATAAATAAATTCAGTCAAATACTATTCTAAATTACACTTTTGCGGATAAATTACAGAATATTCGAGCAAAAATTTATTTTCTATATAAAATTCGAAAACCGGTTAAAACCGTTTTTTTAGTAAAATTAAAATTCAAAAACCGGTTTTCTGAAATGTCGGTTTTTGTATAAATCCTAATATATACATTTATGTGATACTAAGACTAACCTTATGTCTTTGACTGCTAACTAGATTTCTGTAATTTATCTTTTCCCATTATCTCTTTGAAGTTGTGGGGAAATGTGTCATCAATAATGTGACAAGACAAGAACTCTGTAATTCAAAGAACGGATGAATGTTCTTGTATGTTCTGATCAATAAAGTTACCATAGTCACCGCGTGAATTTAATAGATGCCTTCGAGATACTCGTTACCATATGAAACGCCCAACGTGCTATTCTGCAATCTGCAATATGCAATTTGACACATATGTAAAGACATTTCTTGCCAAAGTAATAGATACTAGGTAATAATATCGCTATCTGCTTCAAAGATACTCCGATAAATGTAATTTGAAATTTTATAGTGAGAGGATTCTGAGAAATCTTATTACTTATAATCGAGGTGAAAAGCGTAGAGAATATTGTTGATCAAAACTGGTAATTACTATTCTACGAAACTCTTAAAATCTCTATTCTATACAGAGACTTTCTATATTTAATTTATAAATTTGAAACACAATAATACATTTTAATTAACTTCTTGTAGGGTGAGTTATAATAATCGCAAAAAAAAATCGAAAATATTTTTTTGCATATATTTCTTCTGAACGCTTTGGCATACCTTAGGAAAAATGGATTTATGTGTGTATGTGTGTGTGGGTGTGCGGATACTAACTTTAGTCGACAATTTTGGGAATAAAAAATATTCGTATTGATAAGGAGACGTGCTGATTAGTTTTAGGCAAAGGCAGGTCGAGCCGTTTCGAAGATACATGACAAAAAGTGACAAAAATGGTAATTGATTTAAAAAATATTTTATTTGTATTGACGATATGAAGAACGTAGGCATTTTCAGCGGTTTCGAAGATCCAATAAAAAAATAAAAAAATAAAAAAATGCCATTTGGCGGACAAAAATGATCATAATTTTTCAAAAAGGTAAATTTTTCAAAAGTGTTAAATATCTCAAAAATCGATTTTTTTCAGAGTTCTAAAAGAAAATTGAATCTTTTTCAAAAATGTAATTATTAAGTACGGGAAGTTCCAGCAATTTGCCTTAAGGCACAATGCCATGCACCACTAGTTTTATGATTTATTAATTTAATCTACAAATCTAAACAGATCCAAGGTACATTTATTTTAGCATTTAACATAAAGCCTTTGATTTTTTATTAAGACTGATAATATTTCTATTTCAAAAATAAATATAATTTTTAAGTTACAACCATCTTTAAAAATTAAATTTCAAATATATATATTGGATTTTTTTCTTATGTTATAATTTCTTTTTGAAAGTTCTTATAATTATATTGTGAGAGTCGTAATGGATATAACAGAATAAACTCCCATCGTATAAAAATATATAAATTTTATTCATTATAAAATATTACTGATATCAAAATATATAATATGACAAGTCCAATTGTTTTTTACAATCACTAGCCTGCTTGATTTCCCCACAATATTTAACCATAAGAACAATTCATTTAAATCTTCCAAAATCTGAGAAAAAATATTTTTTTTGTAGTAATTAAATCAAGCCAGCTACATTTTGTTATTAACTTCAAGTTTTGGCCTAATTTTTCCAATGCTCGATGAATAATTAATTAAGTGCACTTACGACTATAAGTTCATAACTGCAAGGCATGCTCTATAATTCTTAAAGTACAGCATCATTTATTATAAAAATCGAACTTAATAAATTTTAATGCCTCTTAGAAAACTCTGAGAATAATTATTTTCCACTCAAATACCATCACGATGACTTAAAGTCACAATGCATACCGAAAGCTCTATTAAGATATAGAGCATTCTCGACGATGAAGACTTAATATTGACATTCTTTCGAGAATCGCCCTTCGTCATATAAATCCGGGCCATTAATGTAATGTAGTTGAAGCAGAAATAAAAGCATGTATTAAATATTATACAGAAATAGCATGAGCAAAATTAAAGATTTTTTATCTTATCAGAACGACCCCACGTACTGACATGAAAGTAAAGCTCAAAATAATGTGTCTCCTGGCACTTCGGCATGCGGCGGCTTCTATAATATGAATGCTTTTCGTGAAATATTTTTGCTAGAAAGCCAATAAAATTTCTTTGAAATATTATAAATATTTTGAAAAGCTCAATGTTTGATAAATATCATTAGTGGGGCATATATTTGCAACCGCTCGCTGTTTTGAAATAAAAATTATAAAACGAATCCATTGTCATATATGATTTCTGAGCTTTTGAACTTGAGATTTTAAATTTGTGATAACAACAAAATGTGATATTTTGTATATTTTGTTAACTCTTATGAATTTTAATATTTACAGATATTTTTGGATAGTTTCTATTTTTTTAATAGTTTCTATTCTGATTTTTTAATATAATCCATTTATATTATATTAAAATAATATATTTTATATTATTTATTAATCAATATATTTTATAACAATAACATTGTTGCTTAATTTCAAACAAGGACATGTTCTTGGAAACAAATAATATATTTTATTATTTTTTATTTTGGATTTTTAGTCAAAGAACAGCACAATATACTTAAACGAATATACATAAAAATACTACTAATTAAAATTTGTAGAATGTATGTTCTGAAGAATATATTTTTTTGTATCCTATAATATTGATATTATTATAATACATTTTGTTATTTATTTTAATTTTCCATAACAGATATGCTTTAACAAAAACATTTATACATTAATAATTTACTGGATAATTACAATTTTAGTTAATGCTGCAGACTCTATACACCGAATACTATTATTGGGCAATTATTGCTGATGTTTTGTTGAATTGGTTTTCAATAATTTGTGATATGCAGTGCATCAATTAGTTTGCATTATTATATGCTTTCAGCAACGTTTAATTTAAACCGTTATTAGCAATTAGTAAATTGGCCAATCTTCTAAAACAAGCGCTTCATAGCTACTCAGTGCAACATCTTCGGTCATAACAGTATCACTAAAAATATAAAAAAAATTATTATTATATTAAATATTTTATAAAAATGTTATTTATATCATATACTAACCCAATATTTCGTTCTGAATTGATGCTGCTCAATTTAACTTTGCTTCGTTCTGATAGATTGGCGAAATATGATCTTAATGGAACATTCTCTGGTTTTGGTCCAAAGTTGAGAACGACTACTATACTATTGTATCCGTAGAGATTTCTAATATATTGTAAATTTTTTATTAAAACAAATTTCATCATATTAAAAACTATATACATATAAAGAAAAATAAAAAAACAGTGGTTTAATTCAAATAATTTAACTAGCATTTTAAAAGCTCCTGGCTTACAGAATAAAAAACAGCTTCAACGCAATTTTATCATTGATTCTAAACTAAATTTTTAGTTTCAACTCGTATTCGTGCACATACTTTTAATTAGTGGCATTTAATTTATTTTACTCTGGTACAATAGTTATATAACTGCTTTCAACTACAGTTGGTTTTTTGCATTTATTTTCTATTATTAGTTAACATAAAATTCTGAGTAGCAGTCAAATCTGATGTTAATATTAGAACCAACAATCCTCGGGTTATTGGCAAGATTTGGCTAAATATCTAAAAAAAATTTGTTGGCTATATGATCTGAATTACAGGAATAAGATTGTAAAAATACTGTCAATAGCAATTTAACACGTCAAAGAAACATCTTTGCAATTCAGCATCCCGATTGTGTTTTTTAATTAAGCATGTCGTATTTCTCTATAGTATGAATATATCATTTTTTAATAATATTATATTTTTAAAAGTTGATAATTTTGATAATTTTTCTATCAAGAGCGAAAGAATTTTCATTTTTGATCATTCTGTAATATAGTAGAGGTTACTACTAGAATCTATGTCATAAAAATATGTAAAAAAAATCTTTAAAAAAATCTATGTCATAATATTTTGGGCAATCTAACTCAAATATAGCTAGCCTTAAAAATATATTTAATGTTTAGTTAGTGAAACAATTTATGTCATTACTTCAAAGACCATCATAATGAAGTTAAATTCTCATCATTTGTACCACTCGCTGCTCGCCTTTCGTTTACAAACTACTCGAGATAATTTGGTAAATTAAAGCAAAGCTCTATAATATTTAAATGAGTCCATTTACTCCAAACAATGCCCACCTTGTAAATGCAAGCACGTTCTCATTGAGTACTTTTAAGTCATAAGATCCATATTTAACGACTTCTAGTTGTCTGAGAGGAGACAGCGCCTTGTACACCTTGTAATGACTTTTAACGCTCGCCTTTTGTTTCTCTAAATTGTTGTCTTTGTAGTCCGGGGCCAAAGGCAACCATGTGTTCTCGCTTGTAGAGAAACCTATTAAATGGAATATTTATGTTAGTACATCGATATGTCCCGAGAGAAAGATTCTGTTGAGGCATATTTATGGTCGGGGATAAATGGATAGGTATCGACGTGGAAAATAATTAATTATTATTTCTGTAAATAATTATTTGCACTTCAAGTCTTTTTGTGATAAACCAGTATTCAATGTTTTTTTTTAATTCTTCAATAGTGATACACTGCAATTTATTTCATTATAGGACAGAGTGGGGCTTTGAGTAAGGTGACCATATTTTTTTGCATGAAATCCGGGACGGGTTATAATGTGTGTGAGAGCGAGCGAGGAGGGGGTTGGTGAGGTAAAAATTTATATGCACATTTTTTCGGTTCAAATTTTCTAGTTGAAATATATTTAAAAAAAGATTGGCAATCAAAACATTTTTAAAAATCCGGGACAACCCGGGTCAAAAAAACCAATCCGAGACGTATGGTCAACTTATTTAAATGTCCACCACCGATATCAAAAAAGGCGAAAAGTTTAATAATTTATTAACAAGAATATTTAAAAGTAGAGGACTAAATATGTATAACTAGCCATCATCTTGATCAACCCCAAAAAAGATTTCTTTTCGTTAGTTTTTTTCTGGTTGTGAGCTTTATTGTTTGAGAGATTTTAATATAATTTTTAAGTATAACGTTAATTATTTTTTTAACATGCATTGTACTTTAAAGTTAGATTAAATAGTTTTTTATATAACCTCTATAGAAGCTCACACGTGGGTGGTGTAAAAATGATCAAGTAAATTTTTATCCAGACAAAGATGTAAACAATAAAAGTAAGCAAAAATGTAACTTTCAAGAAAAAACAACATTTTACATAAAATGTCTTAAATCAATAATGATTATATCTGAATATATCTGATAAAATACCAGATCAAGGTTATTTACAGTGTAATCTTTGCTGAAAATATTCCAATAAAATTTATATTTTCAATTGATTAAAACCAAAACCAAATCTGCTGATGAATATATCTGATAAAATACCAGATCAAGGTTATTTACAGTGTAATCTTTGCTAAAAATATGCCAATAAAATTTATAATTTTAATTCATTAAAACCAAAACCAAATCTGCTAATGAATATATCTGATAAAATACCAAATTAAGGTTATATACAGTGTAATCTTTGCTGAAAATATTCCAATAAAATTTATATTTTTAATTGATTAAATAATGTAGCTATTATTTCGTAAAAGGCATATAAAAATAGCTATTATTTCGTAAAATGCATTTAAAAATAAAAAATAAGGCAGTTAATCTTGCAGATGAAAAACTAGAAAAAAAATGCATTTTTACAATGACGGATTAGACAGGAGATTTACTGAACATAGTTCGATATTTGTTTGTTTGATACGTGTTATAAATTATGATGTAGGTCATTTGATTGAGACGGTATAATTACATAAAAATGGTGCCCCATCCTATTCTATCTATATCTACTAAGCTTAATGAAAGTTTAAATATTTAATTTAGATTAAATAAACACTTTTAATTATATAGTTGAGCAAGAAAGCTATTTACGGTTATATTAAATAAGTTAAATTAATAAGATAATATTTTTTTTAAATTGTTCTATTATTGTAACATTAAAAGGTTGAATAGCAAGATTTTGATCTTATTTTATGTGCTTACTTTGTAAATAAAACTATTTAATAAAAACAATCAGTGAAATCAATCAAAAGTTAACATGCAAAACCACTAATATTTCTATTTGGAACCTACGTGCTCCTAGAGATTTGTTTTACCATTTATATCTTTAACGCTCGCTCAGCATTCAAGTGTGAATTCACACCAGAACAATCAGCACTATAAAATCAACAAAAGCAACAAAAATCAATACATTTCCACGCCCTATAATAAATCGCTTCACGTCTATAGCAGCCGAGCACTTCTTCTAAATCTAATTCTAGCAATTCTGGAGCGATCTCAAAATCGAATTTCTTATTATTTTCAAGTGTTTGACATGAGAATATTATTAAGTCCTCTACCCGAACTGACAGTCGCGTCCCACTGCATCGGCGTTCTTGCGGGATCTCGCGATTTCTCGAGATAATGATCTTTGCCCGCATTGCACGCTTGCGGATCTTTGGTTTGTTCCCATGTCAGGAAGACGTCTGTCAAACCCAGCTCTTCCCCCTGCAGACGAAAAATTTACATTTATACATATGTAAAACAAATTTAAATCGATATTTAGGAAAAATGATAAAAGAAGCTGGTTTCTTCTACTACACTCCGTTTAAAGATAAACTCATTTGATATGGTATTTCTGATTTGATCTGTTGCAACTCTTTAATTAATTTCAACTAATTATGAAGTTGAAATATATAGTAATAATTAAAGAAGTATGTAGATTGATAAACGGTGATTTTAAAAATCCATAAAAATTTCAAGAACTACCACAAAAATCAAATGATTGAAGTAATAAAAATATCGGTGATAAAAATAGGATCAATGATAGAAATAATGGTGATAATAATACGAAGCCGTGCGTCAATCCCAGCTTTAGCCCTTGCAAAAAGTTTTATATTAATGGAAATATGACATAAATTTCAATCAATTTTTAGAAAAAATAAAAGAGTTAACTGATTTCTTCATTACTCTAATTGAAAATAAATACCATTTGACGTGGTGTTTCTTATTTGAATCTGCTTTGTTTCAGATTGATTGTGCAGTTAAATTATCTAATTAAGTATTTAGAGCGACATACGATGATGGTAATTAATTCTATAATTTTTTTATAAGAAAGTACCACTAGTATCAAATGATTGAAAGAAATTGTACTAAAATTAGATAAAAATTGCATCAATAATAGAATTTATGGCAATAATAATACAAAGACGTTCTTCAAACCCTGCTCTAACCCCTGAAAAAATTGACATTTATAGAAATGTAAAAAAAAAATAATCAATATTTTGAAAAAGAAGAGGAAGCTATTTTATTCTTTGCTGTGTTTTAATCTGTACCTACTCATTTTTTCCTGGTATTTTTTATTCGAATCTAGATGTAAAATCTAGTGGTTGGGTGTATAAACAAGGTAGATTGATGGTGTAGTTATAAAATTCAAAAATTCTATGGAAGTACATACCATGATATTAATGAAACCATAAGAAAAAATTAAGAAGATTCAGAAAAGTTATCAAAATAAAAAGTAATATGAAGATATAAATAGTATAAGCACGATAAATGATGAATATAACAAACAAAAAATGAAAAATCTTGATAGAAAAGATGATCCTTGATACTGTTTCTATATTTTTAGGACTAATTTTTATTAAGCATAACACGTAAGGGTGTATTTTAGTGTATAGAAGCATGAATTTTAGGTCATTTTTAAATCATTGTAAAAAAGAGAAAATAAATTTTTTGACCATGATTTTTTCTATAATTTATTTATCAATGTTACAAGAGTAAAAATAAAAAGTTGATAATTTTGAAAATTAACAGTTGTTGAAGTAGGGGATCCAAAAAAATTGATACATGATTATACCCAAGATTTTTTAGTAATCAAAAATGAAAAAAAAAAGATTATTGATCTAGAATCATTTCATAATGAAACATACTAGGTTTAAAATTGTTTTTTTCAAGATGGTGACTGTTTGAGAATAAAGGATTCTTCTTATTCCATTTTTCTTACTACTTTTTGATTTTTTTTAAATATTAAAAATTGAAATTTAGGGATGGGTCTGCAGTATACCAAAGGGAAATCTTTAGAAAAGATTCTCTAAAAATTTTAAGTAAATCGGTTTAGTAGAACTCAAGAAATCTTGGGCATCGTATTAAAAAAGTTAGTATTGAGAAAAACGCGTTTAAAATTTTGCAAAGGGAAGGAAACAGAAGAAGATTATCATGACCAAACGGCTGTATTTCCAAAAATTCTCAGAATTTTAAAAATCCTCGGGATGCTATTCTTGAATGGTTAAACTTTAAAAATATGAAACAAAAGAAAAAACGATTTTTTTAATTTCTACACTACCTCCTTAAATTTTCTTTTTTATGATTATACATACACAAAGCTTGATGCTAATTTTATTAAAGCTTCACTACTATTGAAAATTTATTTTGTTTACTAATTAAAAAAATCATAAACTCAAATTTTAACAATTCAAGTTTATGGTAAAAAAGGCATTTATATCTTTCTACAATAAATTTTTACCTGATAAGTCACCGAAGCTCCGGGAAGTAATTTTAACATCATATTAATTCCATCTAATCTTTCTTCTCCCAAGCGTGACGCTAGACGTTTCTGATCGTGGTTTCCCAGCTGAAATTAAAATAATATATTATACTTTATATTTTTGTACTTTAAATATATTATTAAATAATTTCTCCATCTTTTCAAATCGCTAACGTTGTGGTAAAAGTGTTGATTCAAATTTGGTTTTTAATTTCATTGTCATCAGTATGATTAGACAAACATAAAACTGAGTACTCAAAATCAGATGGATTAAGATAATACTATAAAATAAAATTTACTAGTATTGAGAGCTTAAGATTGTGGGAGTTGATGCACTATAATATAGTATTATAATAATTTGAGATATAATCTATCAGAAATTACTCGTAAATGATATAGTAATCTGCTGAAAGCTCAAATGCTTTGACATTCAAAACCGTTGGCTCGGGGCCATATCAAGTTAATCCTGATTGTCTGTATTTGACAGTTTTCCAAATTATCTACTAATTTGAAAGTTTTGTTCGGGTAGGCCCAATCTATCGCTACAAATTAGTACTCATTGGCAAGTACTGTGATACAATTTTCAAATTTATTATCTATTTTTTATAAATAAAAAATTTTAATTGCAGTAATATTTTTTTTAAACGTATAAAAAACTAAAAGTATAATTTCAATATATCTATATTTCATTTTCCAAGTTACTTCAAAATTGCGTTTTTTTTTAGTTCAGAACAGATTTTCTACTTACTACCCAGTTCGAAGTTTTTCCTGAAGGAAGATTATCCAGCCATTTGTCAATGCTTGTCTTAAAATCCCTGGCATTAGATTCCAATTTTAGATCGCTGATCAGGAAGAAATTGAAAGGTATATGTGCTCCAATTTGAGATCCATTACCAAAGTACTCCATAGTATGATCTACGTCTGTATAAGCTTCCGTCATCATTACTCTGGAATAAAAATTTAATTGATTTTTATCAAACGACCATTTAGATTAATATTGCAGTATTTAGTTAGCTACAATACAACAAATAAACTGTAATGTTGGCAGAATGTTTCTTCTTAACGCATATCACAGAAGACCTAGTTTCAGTAATCAATTGATTGAAATGGATCATCTGGACCCCAGCTCGACTTCTACTTTGCTCGATCTTAATTATACTTGTATTAACTTGGAGTTGTTTCTTAAGGAGTATATAATCTAAAATTAGTTCCATATTATTCTGAGTTACGTTGGCGTCAAACCTTTCATAAACATGCATCATGATTACGATCACCTCTCGGGCACTTTATGAGCTTTGTTGTGAAATGTAATGTAAGTTTTACTATTGAGTTATTTCCGACGCTATTGTTTGACGTAACGGTTAGAACAATATATAAAGAAATATTATACTCTTGAGAATAATTTATATATGTACTTCATGATATAACTGAATTTGAAGAAAAATATCAAGAATATCATATCCAAAAATCTCTCATTTTTCCCCTTGACCCTTTCTCATTCAAACCACCTCAATTTGCACCTCATTACTCCAGCTCATGTAATAACCAGCTATTTGATCCTCACAAACGTCCGCGAAATTCGCGGTTGACACTATCCTGATCTAGGTATTTACCTCGTGTCACCTCCATGTTCCTTCTGATGTTGATCCAGTACTTCTCGCCACTCGTAAACCATTGTGTATGTCATCGGATGGTCTTTGGTCTGGGTCTTAAGGGTGTATCCGTAATCAAGGGGATCTTGACCCACCACAGGTTCATCCACAAATTCCCCATTACTGTCTTGCCCTTCCACCAGGTGGGGGATGGCATCGACTCGGAAACCATCTACACCTTTGTCGAGCCAAAATCGGAGAACATCCTAATTAGGAACAGATGTAATAGAATTAGAATTAGATAAATATCAAAAGAATTATGTGAATAGTTAGAGAATGATGCAATTTTTAGAGTAATATTCCAGTGATTAAGGCATATTTCATATTAACTTCCCGTAGGGCAAGTTATAGTAATCGCAAAAAAATCGAAAATGAAAATTTTTATATATCTTTTTGTTTCAGAGGTTTCTGAATATTTTGGCATACTTTAGAAAAAATGGATGTATGTGTGTGTGTATGTGTGTATGCGTGTATGTATGTGTGTGCGGATACAAATTTTCGTCGACGATTTCGGGAACACGGATCAACCGATTTGAATAATTCAATAAACATTCGATTCGTATTGACAAGAATACGTGTTGATTAGATTTTGGCGAAGGCAGGTCTAGCCGTTCCGAAGATACGGTGCAAAAAGTGCCAAAAACGGTAACTCAGTTTTTAAGAGAACGGAGCGTCCGAGTTGAATAATTCATAAAACATTTTATTTCTATTGACTAAATGAAGAACTGTTCAAATTTTTGGAAAGGCAGATCCAGCTACTTTGGAGATATGGAAGAAAAAGTAAAAAAAATGAGCCATTTGGCGGTCAAAAATGAACATTAGACATATGCACATCAAATTATCAGATATTTTATAGAATTTTTAACAATAAGTATAAATTTTGTTTACATTCCTATGGGTTCCGTACCAAAATTCATGCGAGTTGCAGTACGATTGCTCTGAAAAAAAGTTCAAAATTTCCAAAATATTTCAAAATAAATGGTGGTTCGAAATCCTATTAAAAGTTTCAAATCATTGATCAACTTTTATTGATTATTATTGATGATTATTATTATTATATATATGATTGATTATTATTATTGATTATTTTAATTACTCGAATTTTAAATTGCGGTACGGGAAGTTCCAGCAATTTGCCTTAAGGCACGATGCCCTAATTGCTTTAAGACAGAATTCCACTCACAGCTAGTTTCTCTAAATTTTATTGATGTATCTATGAACCTTAATTTATTAAAAATGTATAAATTTACGTTGGAAAATGAAAAATCATCAAAATGAAATGATCAGTTAATATTGAATCAGTTATTTATGCATATTTGCTACTAATATTCTACTAATAATAATTTTGCCTTATATGAGAAAAGTGAATTATAAATTTATAACAATAGAAACAATCTTTTAAATTGGTACTTTTCAAAAATTTTCATGTGCATTTAATATTTTACTACGATGGGCATTATCTTTTCAAGGAAACTATAAAACGCCAACTAGCATTCAAATTCAATATTTTATCATCGGGATTTTACTACCATATCTTCCACTTTTATTTAAAATCTCTATTTTTAATGATAACAAAAATACTTGTCTGCTTTTACGACACTGTTATTTTATAGAATATAGCATATTCCGGTCGCAATAACTGGAAATGGAAAGAATGAAAATTTCATATGGAAAAGTTTTCTAGAAAAGCGGAACTTGTGTTTCAAATGTATTATGGTAAATATAGGTCATGTTTGGTTGACATCTGCGGAGTATTATATTTTTAAAAAATACTCGGCCAATTTTATGCTAATAATATTTATTTGGGAACAAATAATATGCATTTTTTGATTGGCTATTATTAAAATACTAGTTCTTTTACTGACTAATTAATGTTGAAATATTTTTACCTTCATTTGGTTTCTGAGTTTTTCACTTCGGTAATTAAAGTCAGGCTGCTGTTTAGTAAATTGATGTAAATAATATTCCTGTCTTACTGGATGATACGTCCATGCTGATCCATAAAAAACACTGACCTGGAAATTGATTCAAATTTATCATAATCTTATAATAAAAGAATTATTCTGCATAAAAGATTATACATTGAAACTCTTATAAGAAATATACACATGTGATAAAATAATTATTATTATTAAAATATAGTACAAAAATTTTTTTTTTGTTGCCACTTTTAAGAAACCCTACATTATGATAATTAAATAGATCCATTGTAAGCATTTTTTTTATAGTGATAATTTAAATTATGCATTAATTATAAATGATCCATTTAATTGTGGCTAAATAAACCTATTTTTCTGTCAATTTACATTTTTCAAATTTTTAGTATCATCAACTTCTAATTAAATTCACAATACAAAGGTCGTCCCGTCCTGAAGTGATAATAACACATTGAAATGCGCATACCCATGACATCAAATAATTCGAATGACAGAATTAATCTACATATCGACTGATGCTAATATCTTAATCTCACCCAATTAGTGGGTGGCAAATTGCGTCCTCCATCCGGATTGGGTTTTCCGGGGTGCCAAATGTAGTAATCATCATAATCCGGATCGCGCTCGGCGGATTTTTTGAACCACTCGCATTCATCACTCGAATGGTTTGGGACGAAGTCCAAAATTAATTTTAATCCTGGAATAAATAATTATATATATATATATATATACATATATATTAGGATGATCCTTAATATGAATATTTTCGAAATTCATTGCTCCCAGGAGCTCAAATGATTCCAATTTCTTAATAAAGAATTATATGAAAGTTTTAGCTCTTAATATTAACTTTGACATAGTCCGCACTCTAACCAAAGTTTCAATTAATTATTTATTTTTTATTACACTGATAATGTTAACCATAGTCTCAAAATATTCCTAAATATTATTAAATAATTAGTGTATACATAGAAGCTCATATTTCACAATCTTTCTAATAATATTCTTCCTACGAATTTCTAATAATATTCTTCCTACTCATAATACTTCTGATGCACATGTAATACCACTTTTATATTATTCATTTTATATTTTTTTTATTCTAAATTTTGTTTTACTTGTTCATTTGCTAATGAATATCATGTTCTTGAAGATAACCTCAAGATATTATAGAACATAACTATAATAGTTAAGAAATGTTATAAAATAAATAACATAAGTTGAAACAGCATTTTGTTTTTCTTTGCTATTGGATTTCTTGTTTAAAGCTCAATATTAATACATCACAAATCCAGTATTGCCAATTAAATTATATATATATATATATATATATATATATATATATATATATATGAGTGAGTTCTTGAGGACGAGACGATACATCAAACAAAGAAAAGGCAAAGATTTATAAAATAATCTTTAATTCCAAACGTTTCGGCATTCAATTTAATGTCATCATCAGTTGTATAAAGTGCAAAAGCTACAAATTTGTCTTTTGTAGAAAAGTCTATCTTCTCAAAAAATGGATTAAAGTTATCACACTTATTGTTACCAATAAATCTGCAAATACTGACAGATTTAGTGTTATGGTCTACGTCCAATGATATACTTTATTTATATTATTATTAATGTTCTCGTATTCTTGTTCCCAAAATTATTTATATCTACCGATGTCGACATAAAATTGTGTATGGAAACGTATGGAGAAATCAAGAATCTTCAATTTTATCTTCTGCTCTATTTCATGTCATGAATTCCAAGATTTTATTATTATATTTTATCATTAAAACTCTCTATTTATATTTATGATCATATTTATGTGGTTAAGGTCGCAAATAGCTAATTTGTAATAATAGTAGTCAATGAACCAGAAATTTAGTTAAAATGACCAGTAATTTATTTTAAATTACTTCCCATTACAAATCAAGACGTTGTTCTCATTGTATTATTAAACTAAATTAAATATTCAAAAGCAACTTGAAGGGCAAAATATTCACTTAATTCATATTTTTCAATTTGATATGTTTAATTTTAGTGCAGATTTATTGCTTAACTAATTATAACGATATTATGTCCAACCAAGATTGTGTATTTTTTCACATATATTATCAATGCTTTTTTGGTGTAGATAATATCATTGCAAAATAATACCATTATCACAGTTCGCCCAAACATCACCTACCTCGCGTCTTTATATTACACATCGTGAATTCAAGAGATACTTATCCCCAAAAAGAAAAATACTTTATACCTAGGGATTTGGCTTTCGCTATTAATTCCTCTAAATCCTTCATAGTCCCGTACTCCGGCTGAATGTCGTAGAAGTTTGAAATGTCGTATCCGAAATCCACCATGGGTGACGTGAAAATGGGTGAGAGCCATGTCGCCTGGATTCCTATGTCAACCAAATGATCCAGCCGAGATATTATTCCTGAAAACATTACCCTGAATTAATGACACTTTTAGTTTTCTGACATTCGTGATTTGCATTGGAATTGACAATTTCACATTCCACGCTAGAGTAGCTAGAGTAGATAATTTTATTCCATGCTAGAGTTGCTGGCTAATTTGCTGCAACTTTCTCAATTAGTAAGAAATTCATCCATTCATTTCTTTCTAAGAAATATGAAGTTAATGTCTGTGAGTTAATAAAAAATTATAGAAAGCAAAAATTTGTTGTAATGGAATAAACTTTAAAATACACTGTCGATAATCTTTTTCATAAGTAATTTTTTTTCGAAATTTTATTCAGAGTTTCAAATCCTTCTAAATATTTTTTTAAATTTTTTTTCAATAGCAATCGGAACATTAGCTAACTTCTATGGGCAACATTATTAATTTACATCAATAAAATATAATTATAAATAGTAGTTACACAAGTGGGTATGTACTATTTGATGCAATTTTACTAGATCAAGTTAATTGGCCATAATTTTTTAGTCTTCTCGATTATCGTATGAAGCACCGGTGCAACGGGTGCATTAGGATGATTTTCTAAATACACCAAAAATTGGAAACTATATGTATGTATGACTGTGTTTCAATATGTGTGATTGATATATGAGCCAAAATTTAACATTGCGTCAACAATTTGTGGAAAACTGCTACAAAAGCCTTGAAAAGGCCTCAAATGGCAACTCAACGTGACGATCTGCCCATCCTTTTTTTATAATTTGCAGATAAGTGAAATGTTTTTTGTCGATTCTTTCACTAAAAATTTTGAAACAATTAGTAGGTATATAGGTAGGGAATATGTGCTGCTTAGTTTTTACTTGAAGATCTGAACAACCAATATAAATATATATATATATATATATATATATATATATATATATTAGGGTGGTCTTTAAAACAGTCATTTTTGAATTTTCTTGCTCCCAGGGGCTCAAATGGTTCCAAATTGATGAAAAACAATTCTATGAAAGTTTTAGCTCTCAATATTAACGTTTAGATAGAGCGCAATACAATCAAAGTTTGTATGGAAAGAGCATGAAAAAAATTTTGAAAATTTAAAAAAATTTTTTTAGGTATAACTTAGCGACAAATGAATGAGTTTTATTCCATACAAAACTTTGATTGAATCGCGCTCTATCTAAACGTTAATATTAAGAGCTAAACTTTCAGAGAATTGTTTTTTATCTATTTGGAACCTTTTGAGCCCCTGGGAGCAGGGAAATTCGAAAATGACCATTTTAAGGACCACCCTAATGTATATACACATATATATATATATATATATATATATATGTAGCGGGTTGCCAACACGCATAGCGGCTTGTCAACACGCATCACATGTCTCTGGACAGATTGGCCCATATAGTGACAGCACTGAGAAAAACAAAAGGAAATTCAAGTGTCAGATCGGACACGGCTTTTGTTTCTCCCTAGTCGAACTTGCCAAAATGTATAATGTTCAAAACCTTTCTTTTTCTATTATAAATAAGAAAATACCAATCACATTTTATTAACGATAAATATGACAACACATAGTGTCGTGGATATTAATCATACATAAAATAAACCAAATATAAATAATATTTTATGAAATTTATTATGACTACAATTGGTATTAATATGGACTAAGCCTCCATATTTTGGTGACCCCGAGAGTGAACTAGTAACACACATACAAGAAGGTAAGAAGATCAAGACATATTTTGAAGTAGCACAAAAAAAAAAATAAATTGAAGTCTCAAGAATTACTAAGAAAAGAATTTTTAAAAATATAAATAATTATTATAAATGGCTCACAACCGCCATAACTAGAAGAACATTCTAATCCTACAACTGAGACTCCGACCACGCACTTCAAGATCAACAATAACACGTGCTCAATAAATCACTTATTATCATGGTAAATAAGTCGATAATAAGCACCATGGCAACAGACAGGGAGCAAACAATTTGGCAACCGCCACATACACTCAACCGCTAACTCACCAGCGAAGGGCCACATACACTCAACCGCTAACTCACCAGCGAAGGGCCACATACAATCAACCGCTAACTCACCAGCGAAGGGCCACATACAATCAACCGCTAACTCACCAGCGAAGGGCCACATACAATCAACCGCTAACTCACCAGCGAAGTGTCAAATATACTCAGCCGCTAACTCACCAGCGAAGGGCCACATCTACTCAACCGCTAACTCACCAGCGAAGGGCCACGTAAGCAATCAACAAACTCAACAAGCCAACACGGCAATTAATCACACAATCTCAACCAAAAGAAATTTACAAGGAAGTTCAAGAATGGCAGTCAGAGATGCGAAACAATCTTTTTCATTAGGGCGGAGTGATGTAGCGGGTTGCCAACACGCATAGCGGCTTGTCAACACGCATCACATGTCTCTGGACAGATTGGCCCATATAGTGACAGCACTGAGAAAAACAAAAGGAAATTCAAGTGTCAGATCGGACACGGCTTTTGTTTCTCCCTAGTCGAACTTGCCAAAATGTATAATGTTCAAAACCTTTCTTTTTCTATTATAAATAAGAAAATACCAATCACATTTTATTAACGATAAATATGACAACACATAGTGTCGTGGATATTAATCATACATAAAATAAACCAAATATAAATAATATTTTATGAAATTTATTATGACTACAATTGGTATTAATATGGACTAAGCCTCCATATATATATATATATATATATCTTCAACCTGATGATGCTTAAAATTTCTGCATAATCTATACAAAACTTTATCTATTGCACTAGGGTTTACAGTGGAATACAACGGTTGGAGTTATGATGTAGTTTCTGGTATATAAATGCGAAAGTTATAATACTCTTCCCAGAAACTAGATTTTGCATAAATTACCTTGCAAATCTCCAATTCCGTCGCCGTCTGAATCTTTATACGATCTAGGGTAAATCTGGTAAAACGAAGCGGTTTCCCACCAGTCTTTCGTATTGGGCCATTTGTTACTACTATCTAATCTTGAATCTATTTTGCGTATTTGATTTCTACCAGGATTTCCATGTAAAGTGCTAGTGGACACAAATTCACAAATTAAACTCACGAAACAAATAACTGTTGTCAGCTTTAATGATGGCATTTTAACAACTGATTTGTTGAATATTGAAACTGATAATGTGCAGGATGTTTTGAGTGTTTATATACGATATGTGATATCATTGTTATATTTCGTTGATTATCGGTTATCTGTTTGTAAATAGAGTCAATTATTTTAATGTATTGTTATTGAAAAATAATATACATAACCGTTATCATCTATTATGATGAATATTAGATAATAGCGACAGGGGTGTATCGTGCCTTGGAGGAGCTCCGTATCAAAATTGTTATGGGAGTTTTCTTAGTAAAAGTAAAGATTTTTTACAAAAAATTAAAGATACAAAAAATTGAAAGATTTTTTATTTATCATCATCTATTTGTGAATTTTCTGAAATTTTTACAAGTGGTTGCAAAATATATATTTGCGCTTCTTGATTTTGTTCTGTAAGTTCACCATAATCGTAACGAAAATTTGAGGTTGGATTTTGCGAATTTGATAAAATTTAGTTCGACAAAAATTTAATGTTTTTAGAAATTTTTACAGAATATATTCTTGCGGTTTTTCGGCAACTATTTAATAAAACATTTATTTCAAAAATCTATAAATTTACAAAGAAATTTTCCCATCTGCACGTGTTCGCATTTAAACTTTTCTAAATCTATATATTTATATTCTCGTGCAAGTATGTACCTACATCGGTTTGAGTACACAGAACCAACGTTTTCTGGTTTGGCTTTGAGAAGAATCTTCTGAACGTGTAGCATATAATTTGTTGAAATAATATTTGCTTTTCTGCACACCGTTGTGATTGTGAAAATAAAATCACAATTCAGAAACGAGTACTGACATTCCTCATGCACGAGTAAGAAAAATTATGAATGTTGGGGAGATGGATCTAATTTCTTATTCTCGTTGATACGACTATTATAAAATCTGTTTAATATTTAATTTCATAAGGCAAAATGTAAGAAAAAGTATGTCATGAAGAAATAATACTTCTAAAGTATGTGAAATTTCAAAATGTTTTCATACATATGATTGCCTATACTAGCATGGTGATCATGAGCGAATTAGGCACTAGACTGATACCTAAATAATTTTTTAAAAAATAGGTATAAAAATGGTTATATTTTTTTATAAATAATCTGAAATTTGAATAAATAATATTAATCAGTTATATATAGAAGTAATTGATAAAAACTATGTAAAGATTAGGCACATCATTGTATCAATTGAGATAGTTTTTAGAGCCATAAAGTCTGTCGAAATTCTGCCTCTACCAACTTTTTATTTTTAAAGAACACAAAATAAATTAATTTTATTTATAATTCAATATTATTAATTTTGAGTAAATCTTCAACAAGATATCAGTCTATTCCTATATCAAATATATTTCAAAGGTCGCGTTAACATGACGCTCATATCGCGCGTTCGACATGAATTATGTATGATCGTTCGTTCGCCTGATTTATATTTGAATTCATATTTGAAGAGTCAAATATTTCGAGAAAAATCATTTACAATCATACTCGATGAAGGATCGAATCAAATATACATAAATTCTATTAATATTATATCACGACGGTAAAGAATAATTTACTTGGTACTCGAGATATCAATTATTGTGGGTAGAATTTATTTAAAATCGGGGTGAAATCATTCAAAACAAAAATATGAATGATAATTTTTATATTTTATCTACCGTATGATACTTGCATTATCTATTTTTAAAAATTAATATTAAATTAAGTATTTATTACAGATATAATATCATTACTCATTTTATTAAATTTGAGTAAAATTTTTCATTCGTAATTTTGATTACTTCTACGAAAGAAGTGGAAAAAAATATTAATGTAAATTTCTATAAGTAGTAAATAGTACATTGCTAATAAAAATATTAATGTAAATTTCTATAAGTAGTTAATAGGACATTGCTTAATAACACAGGATTTATTTGACAGAAAATTACACACAAAAATTATTTTTATCAATCCTCAGTATTAATTTCCAATATTTTTATAAAATCATCTTATGGTTTTCCAATCTTAAACGATGCGATAATCGATGTTGACAAGAAAAAAAAACATTATTGGTTTTTCTGGTAATCGTATAGGTGCTAAAATATACATCAGAAAGATATTAGAACATTACTGTCATGATCTTGGGGATTTTGGTAATTTTCCACATTATAATTTATCGGGATTCATTTTCAATTTGTATACAATCTGTAGAGATGCTATCTGGTTATCAAAATATTTCCAAATGATTATTTAATTGTGTCAATTCAGAAATCAGTTATTATTGTTGGTCATCATAAATTGATTATCATTAATTATTTGAAAAATTCACATATATAAACATTTATTTTATTGCTTAAAGTCATGTCTCAAAATATAATCAGTAGTATAGAATTTTGAATTACAAATTTAGAATTAACATTTTGAATCAATAGCATGTAATATACGACGCACATAAGTTTTAGTGATTATTTACTCTTTTGTCCATTTATTTATTTTACGTTTCTAAATTTGTATACAGAAGTTTATCTGATCCATGTAAAAGATTCGCCTAAGACGATTTTCTTTACTGCATCATTACTTTCCTTCATGGTTATTTGAATTTTACGCCTTAGGACGTTGCGCATCATATTCTCTATCTAATATCTTTTGGAAGGTTAGAGATCTGAAGTTTATAGTTATATTTTGTTATTTCATGTAAAACATATTCTTAAAGAATTTTGTTGCATTTTTGAGAATTCAAAGAACTTCAAGTATCAAAAATCTTGTTTTACTACTGATATTTTGCATTCGAAAACGGCACCATTCGCATAAATATGGTATATAAATTATCAGGACTCCATGTATTTGTATAACAATATAGATGTAAATTTACTGAATATTGTAATTATATTTAACAAATTTATTTTCCTTTTTTCAGTGGCAAATCCACCAGACAGAGGCATTCAAGATGACACTACCGTTCCATCACAAACAGCCGCCTTAAGATCTTCTTCACGAGATCGTAATGGTGAAAATCGTAAGATTATTTAAATAAAATAGAATCAGTAAAACATTTTATTTCATTCAGAAATTCATTATATAATGTTCATAGTAATGATTAAAATTTTTTGTATTTTGCCAAGGTTTTGCTACTTACATAAAACTCTACAAGAACCTATTATAACTTCTAACAATACATCATTGGATACATGTTTGAGTTGTAAAAAGTTTTTTAATTTTTACGTTCATAATAGTTTGCGCACACATTGTTTCAATTTAATATACTCCAAAAGAAACTCTGAAATGAAAAACATTTAAGAATACATTATAAAAGAAAAGTTTTGCACAATAAAAGTTATACGTAATATCATTATAAAAAATAATTTATGGAAATATTCGATAATTTTAAAATTATTATTTATATATAATTATATATATATATATATATATATTTATATTATTAAAATTATAGTTTTAACTTTATTAAAAAACCTTAACTAGGGAACTGGTTTAGAATTCTCTATAATCGTAACTATGTACTCAATTAGTTGGTTTTGCAGTTCATAATATTTTTGGGATCTTGAAAGAAAATAATAATAGCAAAAAAGCTATATAAGTAAATAATGCATTTAAATTTATTTCAATTACAATTGAAACAATCATGTGAAATTCTAATACAGAGGATTTATTTTCCATAAAAATTGTACCTACTGATTTTTATATAGCAAACAGATGTTTCTGCCGAACAATTGGTAAAAGTATTTCACTCACAATATATTTTACAATGGATTTTACGAATTCAAAATGACTGATTTCAAAATGTCAATTTTGCCGATACTGCCACATTTATTCCCGTCGATGCAACTATGTGTTCAGAGAAAAGCATCGTGTTTTATTTATTACCAGCAAAGCCTTGCTGCAGCCATGTAGTGGAAAAGTGCTTTGTTTTTCTGATAAAAAATATCATAATGCTACTTTAAAAGACGTTTTAAAATATTTTGCAACTTTTTGTTGTTCAGCTTTATAGTAAAAATCAGAAAAATGAATTTTAATTATAGAGGAAAAGTGATTTTTTTTTTCTGATCCGCTTTGCACATGTACAACAGATTAGTTGTAGTCGATTCGTTGATTGATCGACGAAATTATTTTTTTTTTCACATAAAAATATATGATTTTTTTTTCACATTGGTTGTTATTATTCCAAAGTAAATTTAAGCCATTTAGTTTCACATATCAATTAACTGCTTTTTAAAAAATCTTAAGAGGATGTTATGGTCCAGAGGCATGAAAACGGCAAACAATATTTTGGCTATATTTTTTGCAAGTTATTAACTTCCCGTAGGGTAAGTTATTGCAATGGGCCGAAAATCGAAATTGAAAATTTTCACATTTCTCGACGTTTTGAAGGTTTCTGAACATTTTGGCATACCTCAGAAAAAATGGATGTGTGTGTGTGTAAGTATGTATGGATACAAAATTTCCAATCACGTTTTCGGGCGCACGGATCAACCGATTTAAATGGTTTAAAAAACATTCGATTCCTATTGATAGGGAGATGAGTTGATCAGTTTTCGGCAAAGGCAGGTCCATCCGTTACGGAGATAAAGAGCAAAGAGTGCAGAAAATAGAAATCGAGTTTTTGAGAGAACGGAGCATCCGATTTGAATGATCTAAAAATAAATTCAATTAGTAATGATTGCGAGAAGTCTTTATTAGTTTTTGGCAAAGGCAGGCTCAGCCGTTTCGAAGATACGGAGCTAAATGTGTAAACAATGGCAGTTTTTGAGAGAACTAAGCGTCCGATTTAAATGATTCAAAGAACTTTCAGCTTGTCTTAACAAAATAATTGATTTTGGAAAAAAAAATTGTTTGTTTCAACTTGTTTTTCGAAAAAGAATTTTTTGTATATCGAAAATAATTCAGATTTTATTTATAATTCTGACTATAATTCTAATATACTTTAAACAACTAATTTCAGCTTTGCAATTCAGTTTATATAATTTTTATAAATATT